CATTTAGGCTTTGCATGGGCAGGAAGGAGGGTTTGCACACAGTTGCACAGAGAGGTTTATCCACCCTGTGCCCACCCACAGCTTTGTACTGACCATCATTCTGCCATGCCTGGTGATGTGGTCCAGGCATTTCTAACTATTCCACCTGAAGGCAGGTGAAGTAATTTCTGTCCTTGCAGAAAGCTCAGAAGAAGCACATGCTGGAGAGATTCAGTTATTGAACTCAGCCTCCTACTTAGCCAGTACTCTTTAATTTGGAATTATCAGAAAAGATGCAACACCAGCATGAATTCTTGTCGTAAAAATACTAAAATGGGCAAGAAATCACAGCTTCTAAGTGTTCGAGGCATTTTAATGACGGTGAAGGTCAAAGACAAAGTGCAGACTTGTGGAAGTGAGGAGATGTCAGAGACTAATGTAACTCTTTTTTCCACTGAAGTAAGTAGGCTGAAGCTCAGAGTGGAAGAAGGGGAGAGAATGCAGATGGGCTGTTCAGTGCTGCAAGGAGAAAGAGAGACTGCATTTGACAGTAACACAGGGGACATTCCCAAACATTGATCTGTCTTTTTATTTGGTCTCAAGAGACCACAGGGATGCTCCTGCCCTTATGGCAACAATTAGAGGGAATACAGAAAAGACAAGTGTAGCTTTTAGAGAAAGGGGCTCTGTAATAGGATAGTGCTGGGATGAGCAATTTTCCTTTGATTATCAGCTCCAGCTGGGAGAGTGGGTGAAGAGAGGGAAGCAGGTGGCTCCTGAGAGAGTCCACCTGGAAGAAGGCTATAGAAGAGAAGCTGCACTGCACTGTGGGCCCTAGAGTTAAAAAGAGGGTAGAAAGGGAAAGGCTAATGCTTTTAGTTCAGTTTATTTATTAAGAAGTAAGAGCTTTAGCTTGTGATGTTGCAGAGGTTTTGAGTTAACAATAGAAAGTGTGTTTGTGAAAGACATTGGAAAAGCCCTGGTTGCTGCATCCAGCTCTTCCTGGGTGAGTAAATATTGTAGTTGTTCACACTACAGCAACAAAATAATAGAAAGCAAGTTTTTAGTACCTGTGTGGGTACTGCAGCTCTGTTTGTGCTCAGTTAAAAGGAACCTTGAAAGGTAAAAGTTATGTGCTCTCTCTGTATGGCAATCCCAGGTACAGCATAACCAGATGTTTTGAGGGGTTTTTTGTTAACTCACTGATGCCAGTGATCCTGGACTTGTTGTGTGGCGTAGAGCCAGCATAATATGCAAGTACACAAATTCAGTAATTCTGTCAGCTAGTTGATGAGTTCTTTAGTCTTTTGCCTTCTAAAATCAAGCAGTGAGCTAATATAGTGGCAGGAGGGAAAGACATTCATTTGCAGAAGCTCACTATGCTCAAGATAGATCTCCACAAAGCCTGGGAAAACAGCTTTCTGTGGCTCTGCTGAGTTCCTGCTTAATTACTTAGCATGATATGACCTTGCTCAACTTCTATAATACAAGGGACTAGGAGATCTTTTGTGGTAAACAGAGCCCATAATAACTCTGTTCTCTAATCTCTGTTTCTCTCGCTGATGCCACTCTTTAGAAAACTATATATATCCCTGAAGCACCTAATTGAGAAACAGCTTTGTGAGGGGATAAAAACATTGGTGTTGCAGGAAGTAATTAACCAGGAGCAGTGCTACTTGTCTTCTTACTGTTACATACCAATGCTGTTATCAGCAGACCTGCTGCTGGTTGTGTCTCCTTTGGGTTGGCAGTTACTGTACTTTTGGTTGCTGGAAGGAAACAGCTAAGAGGTTTAGCAGAGTGATGTTATTTAGTTATATTTTTTGTACAGTTCAGGAGGTGTGTGACTGTTCCTTTGCAGTTTTCTGGCACGTATTTGGGAATCTGCCATGCCTGAAAGCATTCCCAAGGGACATGGGGGTGCCTGGTCCCTTAGAAGAGCCTAACACAGAGTCAATATAACTCTGCAAAGTGAACATACACTGTTCACAGTCACAAACGTTAGTAACTGAGGGAACTGGGGAAGCAGTGGTATGGCATAATGCAAGTAGATTGTACTGTGCTGAGAAATTGCTTAATTGCAAGCACTGCTTTAGATGGTTCTCATTTTGTTATGAAAACATGGGGTAAATAATAAATACTTGCCTTTATATTGGTGATGCTGGTGTTTAAACTCACATTGCAGGGGACAGGATGAAATTTGATTTGAGGTGTTTATTATAAATGCAGGCTATGAGGGATTTTTGTCTGTGGTTTTGGGTTTGGGCACAACCTGTCCCAAACTCTGGGAGGGTCAGAAACAGCCTCTCACCTGCTCTGAAAGTACAGCCATCTCTGAGCAGCAGGCCACAGTCACTGCTTCAAATTGCATGACAATACTTTGACATCTCTTAAATATCAACCTCTTAAATATTGTCTTCCTTTGCTACTTTCTGCCTTTCAAGCAAAGAAGCTGCTGTTCTGCCTTGAGGGGTGAAGGCAGGCCCACTGGTTCTTAATTGCCTCCTTCCCCAAGTGACTTAAGAGATTGTTCTCTAACTGGCTGTAATTATCCTTTACTGTAAACTAACCAAAGTACACTCTGATTTCAGTGTTATGTTCATTAGCAAGCATCCTGGTTTGAATGTTAATGCATTCTGGGAATGTCCAATCTATAAGAATGGACTGATCTGTGTACCAAGTGCTTGTGAAAGACCCTGAGGAACGAATCTGTATTGGGTAACTCATTTGAAATGAAACCTGTGATGTTAGGGACAGAATATTAATAGATAGTTGAGTTGCAGAGTGGATGTCTGTGTGAATATCCTTGAAAAGGATGACAAAGTTTTATTGTTCCCAAAAGAGCTCTTGATGGGAAAGTTGGTCCTGAGTCTGTGCCTGCAAAAGATTTCTCCCCGTGGTTGGTGTTTGTGGTATGATTTGTTGTTTGAGATGAAGAGGGGATTTATCCTGTGAGTGAGACTGTTGGTGGTTTTACAATGCAAGTGGGCTGCTGGTTTAGCACTGGAGAAATGTAGGAAGAATGAAAGCTTCCCTTCAGTCCTTTACTCAAACATAATCCATAAAAAGAAGACTCAGCACACATTCTTTTAACAAAATAATTTTAAAAGAAGTCTGAATCCTAGCAGATGTTATCTCTTGTTATTTCCAAGATATGCAGCAGTGTCACTGCCTGGTTTTCAGATGGGTAAATGTGTGCAGCATATAAAAATGAGGCTGAATGCTTTTAGCAGGGATGGTTCTGCCATCCAGCTCCTCAAGCCCCTGAATCTGGAGTTTTCTGCAGTGTCTCCTACAATGAGCAACGAAGCCTGGCTGCTCTGCCAGGTGCAGGTGGAAAGGTTTGCCTGGTGATGTTGATTGCCAGGTAATAAGGCAGGGCACTTGGTTTTTTTCTGCCTAGGGAGATTTTTCGAGTCAAAAGCATGATTTGAATTTCCAAGTGTCTCTGTGTGGACACTCTTCTTGTAGTAACAGGGGCTCTTTAACCAATGCAGAATAATAGACTTCCTTAGTGGAGAAAACCACAGCAGGAAAAGATGCTCTCAAAAATGTGCTGGCAGAAAGCTATTGCTGGAAACTTGTTCCACAATTGCTTTTTCAGTTAATTTCCTCTTGTATACAAGCCATTTTTCAGAGCATTTTACCATATATTTCCAGAGAGAGAGCGAGCACTTGATCCCTCAGCACAGTGCTCAGATCTCAAGATATCAGGCACTTGGAGTGTCTGGTGCTAGAAATCAGCCCTGATGAGCATTCATACGCCTGGTTTGGCTGATTGAATAATCCAAACTGCTCTGATGTGTTTGAATTGTATCTAAGACTGCTGCTTTTCCTGGGTGTTCTGATACCTCTTGAAATTATCTGGATGGGGAGGCAAATGAACATCGAAGTTGTAGAAATGGAAAGAAGGATTAAGAAGCAAAACAGAAATCTGTGTTTAAAAACAAAATGTTTGCTTACAGTTCATGAAGGCATGGGGGTGTTTACAGGAAAGAAATGTCTAGAAAAAAGACTTGAGAATGTTGCTTGCTGAGGAACTTCAGTTAATCTCTGAATATGACTATTCCCACATGTGGAAAATTGCAAGGAAATAACTGTCATGCTATTGAGTTCTGTCTAATCTTTCCCGGTTACACACGTCTTTCAAAATTACTCTGAACGAATCTAATTATGTCCCTGGATACTAAAGACTATGAAAATAAGTTTAAAGGAGCCCCTGAAGAACAGTCCATGGGCTCTTCACCATATCAGATGGTTATGTGATTTGCTGAAGTGTAGGTTATACTTCCATCCTGTCACTGGTCATTTTAAATGCTTATCTGCTGTTCTAATGAAAGTTATCCTGCTAGTTCTTCTAAGTCACAATGTGACTGTAACATTTTCAGACATTTTTCCTTTTGCTCTTTTTGTTCTTTTTAAGCATAGTGACAGTTCTGTGAGATTCAAAAAGGCAACCATCTTCTATTGTTCTGCCTATCTTTCAGAAATAGGAATACAGAAAATGCTTATAAATTGTCTTTTATATATGCCACATTTATATATGTGCATGTCTGTATGTGTATAGGGAAACGTAGTGTAAAACAGGTGTTATCTAGAAATTCAAGTATCTTGGCAGCAAACTCGCTCCAGAAACAGAGATAATTTCATGTAGTTTGAAGGAAGACCCTGCAGTGTGAGGTATAAAATCTCCTTTGTTACCCAGGTGCTCTGGGTGAAGCCCTTGAGCACAGCCTGTATAAGCAAGAGGCTGCCAGTACATTCACTCTAAGCATGACTGTATGAGGCCACCTCTATGGAGCAGTGTATACCTGTCCCTGAATGCCTCTCTCTATGTACCTGGGTAAACAGGCTTTTAAAGTACTCTCAGGTGATGGTTTCTGGATCTGCTAGCTACACTTGTGCACTTCCAGCCTTCACTAGGGAATGCAGCTTGCCAGCTTTTCAAGCTGTATCTCTTATTAAAATCCCATTTGCACATAGGTGTATATGGGAAGTGACTCCCCCAGTTTTTGCCTTACCTTCACATCCTTGATGTTCATCCTCGTTCCCTCCTTCCCAACAAAGATGTCATCTATATCAACCAGGATGTACCTGTCCAAGGACAGTGTAAGCTTCTTTCCTGACAGGAAAGAGAGGGCATCAATGAAGATCAGTTTGTGCAACCAGAAGGTCAGGTTGTTTCCAAACAGGACTCTCTGAATCCCGTCGTGAAGCCCCAAGTCTTGGATGACAGTAGCATACAGAGCAGCCTTGGGCAGTCCTGCAGGGGGTGGTCTGGAGGTCTGCAGCTCGGTGAACAGCACAGGTTGATAAGTGGAATGGTTGAACTGGAAAACTGTCCAGTCCTCACCGGGCAGTGGACCTTTCTCAACCCTTGGCGCTTTGGTAATGCGCAGCAGGGGAGACTGAGGGTTCACCACACAGTCTTTGAGGGCTACATTATTGTAAAGCAGCAGTGGCAGTCCTTTCAGCTTTGTACTGGGGGAGCTGTTCTCGTTGGCTTTATGAAAACCAATGATGCTAACACTGTATTCCACACAGTATTGTTCCAGAAGCTCTCGATTCCATGAATCCATGGATACGTACTTTAAAATATTCTCATAAATAACAATTGTGTATTTTCCTCTTCCATTGTCTGTGAGAGGGGGAATATCCCCCTTAGCTGGCGCAATGACCATGTGGTACTGAAATCTGCTGGACTCGAGGATGGCTATGATGTCTTGCCCCAGCTGGGAGTACTGGCTTTCCACGAACAGAAGGACAGCAGAGTCAGTTTTAGATGGATCAATTGGCTTAGCCGTTTTCAGCCCCGTGGACCTGTATGGTAGAAGCTTGAGGTCTTCACACTCCGCTCCTCCAGTGGTTTCCACGAGGGTCATTTCCTGCTTGTAGCCTGTGTAGAGGTAATAAGCAGAAATGGCAATACTTGCCAAGCAGAAGGTTGCCAAGAGAATGACCAGCGTTCTGAAACTTCTGCGGAGCTTCACGATTAGATTCATCTTTTGCGGGACTTCCAGCTTCTGTTTGGCTTGCTGCTTTTTCAGTTCTCTTTTCCTAAAGTGCCATAGGAACAAGGAGATGCAGAGGTGCCAGTTCCCCTCCCAAGACGTTCATGTCACCATTGCAGTGCATTTATGAAGCTGCTGGGGAGGTTGTAAAGCTGTTGGAGTGGCAAGTCAAAGGATCCGGAAATCTGAATTGAAAGAGGTTTTCTCAGAATGCAGCAGCTGCCAATAATCAATGAAGAGGACTCTCAACATGATCTGCAACAAGCAGCGAAAGAGGAGTAAATAAAATAAAATCCATAAAGCAATTAAAAATAGATGTTAATAAAGATGGTGATTGATAATCTGAGTTGAGAGGGAAGCTTATGAACTGTTCAAGGAGCACTCAGTGTTACTTGTTTTCTTGATGTATTAAGATAAGCTGCATTGAACAGCTCTCCCATATTCATAGGGTATAAAAATAAGGTCTAAATAATATTTTTTTGGACGTGTATCTCTTCATTATGGGGATTTATGATCTAAAAGTAGTTCATTGCTCTTGGGGATTGGGAATAACTGAAGATTGTAGGACAAAATTAGGGCAAAGTAAATGTGAAATATTGGGCCATATTCCTTTTTAAACTCGGACTACATAAGTATTTTGAAAGGGGTGACAAATTCTGTTGGACTGTAGAACTAATGAAACCAAAGCAAAGGACATGAGAGGACTTAGAGGAAAGATTTGTGGGGCTTTTCTCTCCAGTTTCCATTCTGTACTTGGAGTGATTTGTACTTTACAGTCTAGTCAGTTCAAGAAATGATCAAGCTTGTGCCTGGATTTTCCAAGTGAATAACTAAGCTACTCAAGCTGCAGGGTGCAGCTGTGCCTGTCTCTGCCAGGGATGAAAGGCAGGTGATACACCTGGCATGGAAAAGGCCATGAGGGAGCTGTTGGTGAGTGCTGGGTGGGCAGGTAGGTGCGTGCCCTGGGCCAGGACAACTCCAGCTAAAGGACTGGGGCTTCTGTCTGTCCCTCCCATGCTGGGTGGCTGAAGTAGAAGGAAGGTGTTTACATCCAACTGCCTGGCCAGCTCTGAAGCCCTTGGGCAACTTGTGGTAGTTATACTTAAATTCATGAAAAATCACCATTGGTAACAACAAACCGTGTGACTCAGAGGGGGTTAAGACAAATAGACAAAACAAAAAAACCTGTGCTGCTCTGTGGATTTAAACAGGAATTAACATATTTCTGAATTATTCCTGTTGTTTACCTATGTGATACTGTAAACGGTGGTTGATTTTGGAACTGCAAGGAAGAAGCACTATTTCCAGGCAGATACTTGTCCGTTGATGTGTCTTCCTCTAATAACTCAGATTACACTTTGGATTTTCATTCTGGAAACTATTCATTTATCCTGAGCTTCACACCTGAAACCGAAAAAAGCTTTAAGAAAGGTGCTGAAGGAATTTGTTTAGCAGTGTATTTGATGACTCTGGTAGACAGTTGTAAGGAACCTCTTGATTGTGTCAGTTCAGGATCTTAAAAATGCAAGTGAAAAGTTTTAGTTTTATTTTAAATGCCCCATATCACTCTCCTAGTATGAGAATACTGCTTTTGTGAGCTTATTGGCCAATGAACAGAATGCTGAAGTAGTTGTGAATTAATAGGCGTACTTGTTCATGAGAGGTTTGTTGCTGCTCTCACAGTTTAGAGACAGGAAGCTGTTGTTGAAGCCACTTGTGACTTGTGATTTTATCTGCTTTACCTTTCTCAGTTGGAAGCTTGCTGGGATTTTCATGGCCCTGTATTGTAGGCTGCTCTACCAGTGGCCCCACCGTGTGTCCCAAAGCAACGGCCCTAAAGCAAGGTGGGGTAGTTTTTCCATGGGCAGAACTGAACAGAAATGAGGAAAATGTTCTGTGTTTCATAATGTCTAATGTATGAGAGAAGAAATAAAAAAGAAATGGCAGCTATCACTAAGAAATTTAAATCATCCTGGTAGTTGTAAGAGCCCTTGCTCCACTTTTGCTCTCCCCTCGATCTGCACTTCGGTCTGTTTGCTGGGATCCCACTTCTCAGGAAACCTCCAACTAAGACTTTATGGCAAGATAAAACTGGATGTAGCAGAGCATCCTCTGGGAGGCTGTGTTCCAGTCTCATGATGTTGATGAGTCCCTCAGCCCGACTCGGAGGGCTTAAGGGATCAGGAGCACAGCTCTCCGAGGTCTGGGGCATCTCCCCCCAAAACAACTAATGGCCATAAGCCTTAATTGTGTTAGCCCGAGTCGGGCAGGTACCTTGGAAGCAGTAGCGAAAACCCCCTCTTGGACTCGGCATCTTCTACTTGCTTTCAACACTAGAGGGCAATATTTTCTTGCTTTTTAGCTGCCAGCACCTGCTCCCACCTCGGCTCGGCGCAGACAGCCCTGCCTGCAGGCAACCTCTTCCCAGAAGGGTGTCAGAAATCCTCAGGGAAGGTCAACCACCTTCATTAAGATTCTCAATTTTAAAATATTACTTTTTTTAACAATCATAAAACATTATATTAAAAAAAAAAAACCCCAACAAGACTTGTGCTCTTAAGAAACGTGCCACTAAATCTGAATATTTAAAATCCCAGTCTCCACCTGTAGCACAAGGGAACAGCAGGCAAGGAAACCTCAAATTGCACATTTATTTTCCATGCTGTTCTGTCCCCGCTGCATCTCCCAGGTGCTGGCGTTGGGAGCTGTCAAATCAATACACTTTGTGAGCAGGGTCTTTGCTGCTGCTAGAACTTGTATTAGTAAAATATTAATAGCTCTTGATTTTATTCTAACCAAAACAAAACTAGGGTCTTCAACTGAAATTATTTGATCTGAGTAACAGTGCTAAAATATTTCCCAATTAAAATATTAGTTTTAATGTGAACTAATATATATATATGCAGACGTTAAAAAATAGTGCAAGTAGTCACATATATCTAGATATCTAAATAGTAGAATTGAGAGGGAATTTAAGCTTGCATAGGGAAACCTGGCATTGGAGCAGCTCTCTTTAATTTGTGCCTTGTGTTTGAACGGCTCTGTTGAACTAATACTGTTCAGTAAAAAGAAAAGTAGTGTGAAGTAATTAAAATTTATGAAAATAAATCAGCTATATTAGCCATTAGTGGGACATTTTCCAAGGCATAATTGGAAGATAAGTTCTGTTTGTGTCTTTGAAACTCTTCCCCTTAAAGTTCACCAGCTTTATATTCACTCAGAAATTCAAATATCTTTGGAGTATTTCTGTGCTGTATTAATTTGTAAAACGTGAAAACAGACCTCATTTCATAATTAGGCTCACTAATACAGCTTTACTTTAAAAAATGGTGCTTGAGGTTCTGTGTTCCTGTGGTCACTGGGCGGTATTCATTTGACTCTTTGGGGGAAAGTCCAAAGATGGGTGCAGTTTATCCAAGAGTCAAGGTTATATTCATCCAGACTTGGTCCTTCAGTAGATCTTGAAACTGGCTTCCTAAATATGAGGTTTTTCCCAGAAAGTGCAGAACTCTGCAATATAGCTCTGCTGTGATGCCACAGCTGTCTGCAGGAACTGTAATTTTATTTGGCTGCTTGAATCAAAACAAAACAAAACACACACCAAAAAAAAACCCAGAACAGGTTTAAAAATTGCTGCCTCCTTTCTAAATAATGCTCCTTGCTTCCCCATAAAAAATGCATTTGATTGATTATTAAAGCACACTGATTTTGAAGGTGATTGAACGGGAGATTAGGAGTCAACAATAGAAAACTGAGAACACAGCAGTAAAGAGAAACAGCCTCTTATTAATACCTGGCGTTAATGTTGCATCAGGAATTAGAGCTGATTCTCTCATGGTCCACTTCCTACATGCAGACTTTTTCCCAGGGCTTAGTGGTTTGACAAGCATCTTGACCAAATTAGGAGCAACTCATCAGTGGGGGGAACATGGACACTGCAGAAGGTGGGTACATATTGCAAAGGTAGCTGTTAATTGCTAATGAGGGAAAGCAGAAATAGTGAAGTTATTGCCTGGATAAATAGGGAAAACTCCATTAAGAGTGAGAGTTGCTGCCTTCCACTATCCATCAGTAGAAATGGGTGATAGGTGGGCAGTTGGGTGTGGGTGGGAGGCCACTGGTGAGTACTGGGTGCATGGGCTGCCAGCCTGACCTGCCCCGTGGGGCTGCTCTGAGCTCCTCTCCTCCTAGGTTGGCTGAGGATCTCTGTAGTGCAGCTTGTGAAAAGCAGCATGTGGCTGCTGAGCTAACAGTTGTGTTTATCCAGGCTATGGAT